ATCGAGAAATGGTCGAAAATTTTTCCATGTTTCTCTCCTCCAAGTCTTGAAAAAAAAAAAAAAAAAAAACCTACCTACCTTAGGGCTCGTTATACTAACTACATCTCGCATTTCGATCCAGGCTGCCTAGGTTCATCCTCTTCCCGTACCTCGCCGTTCAAGACATCCGCCTCAGATAAGCGTCTCTCATTTCCTTTCTCAAATCCCATGTATCGACCCAGCTTTGTGCCAATGTTCATGCGTTCGGTGGCATCCCCCCTCGTGCTGAAAGCCTGCCCAGGTTCGTCGTTCAGAACTCGCGCGTTATTCTGCAATCTGCTTAGCATCTACATCTCCCCCTTTTTTTCGACCATATCTCCATTTATGCGTGTCATCCTTGAAAGCGCAGGCCCCATGCTAATCTTCTCTTTCTCTGTCTCGTTCCCATTTCAACGGATGTCCCGAAGGCCTCCCCTTTTTTTTTTCCTCAGGCAGTCATCCCGCTACCGTCATCATTCGACCCCCCCCCCCGCGTCGTATTCAGCGCCCCCGCCCTTACTGCCTAAGCTTTCCGATACGTGTACCTGTTCAGGGCCTCGCCACACAACTCTGTTTTTTTTTTAAATTACCTGTCAAATCTGGACAGGACGGCCTTTCAGACCCCTTTTTTATTGTCATTATTGTCATTATTATAGTATTACGGGGAACCCCGTAGCAGCCACATCCGTGCTCAAGCCTCCAGCGAGGGAACATGCGGGAGCTGCACCCACCAGCAGGTCCGATACCCCTGCTACAGCAGGTGGGTGATACCGGCCAGCTGTCAGCCGGTAGCATCAGGACCGAGCTTCTTCGGATGGGCCTTTTTACTGTGCCTCCCCTCCGGTCCCCTTGCCCTATGACGATCAGCAGTCTCTGCTCGATGCCAGTCGGGGGGACCAACAGCATATCTATAGGTGGTGGGCACCAAGCTTGCCCAGGAAGGTACTTGAGGCCAATGAGGATTGAACCCAAAACCTCCGGAACGCCACTTGCATACCTTACCAACTGAACTAGGACTCTAGAAACATGAAATTCCTTTCGAGAGTTCTCATATACTCTCAAGAGTCAGATTTTCGAGAGTTGAGGCCCTTTCGCCACACAGCACTCTCAAAACCCAACTCTTGAAAACGGGCTTGTCGGTCTGGACTTTCTCGAGAGTGCCGTGTGGCGGGGACGGCCAGCTCTTGAAGTTTGGAGGGGGCTACTCCCAAACAGATCTTCCGCCAGAGCACTGAAAGATCCACCGTCCCCTTGTTGGTCCTTCGTGAGTGTACTCTTGAAAACGGGCCGACCAGTCCAACCACCATGTCAGGGTAACGTCCTGATAACTCTTGAAAAGCAAGGGCCCTTCAAGTGCACTCGTGAGAACGCTTGAAATGACCCGTGTTGCCGGCTGGGGTTTGGGGGTTGTTCAAGAGCTACTCTTGAGATGCATTTCGGACAACTCTTGAAAAGGTTTATGACAAAAAAGTTCGAAGAGGCTGTGTGCTGGCGCGTTTGACTCTTGAAAACAGGGTTTCAAGAGTGGTGTGGCAAGGCAGAGGCCCTCAGAGTCACGTCGAGTAGACACGCGAAGATCTCCAGGGAGATCTTGGCTTTCGCGACACCTTCACCAGATATTAAGGACTTTGTCCTTATTCAGGCTACTTGCGCCACATGTCTGTGGGCCATACTGCTCACGTTATTCCCATTCATCTGAAACCACAAAAAATCCCGGTACTCCGGCCCCACTTCCCAAGCACAGACCCCCATTTTTAACCAAACGCGCATGCACTTCCGGGCCCCCCATTAATCCTTTCATCCGGAAAAACAAAAACCAAAAAGACATAACATCCCTCGTACTTCAGTCCCACCTCCCAAGCACGACCCCCATTCATCACCAACTGCACATGCGCATCTCCCTTTTCAACCAAGAAGGCACGTGCTTCCTAACATACATCCCTAGACTACCATTGAAGAGCTCGGCCAGGTAATCTTGCATCCGTAGCTGCCTTTTCAGCATGAGTAGTTGTAACCCGGCCAAATTACCTGTCGATGTCATCCTCCTAATCTGGTGGAGTGTACTAGTGAAATAGTTGTGATCACTGGTCATGGCTTTCTTCTGCCGTATCATTGAAAAAGAATCGAAATCTTGGAGAGTTCGGTAAGTCAGGGCTCTATCACTCCAAACATGTTCGAAGCTTTTCAGAAAACTTTGGCATGTTACCTCATTCACCCTGATCTCAACTTTCGTCCCCTGGGAAGTCCACGTGCCCTCCCCCTCATCAGTCCTCATCAGGCCTCTTTTAAATCAGTCTCTCATTGTAGGCCTTCTTGAACTTACCCACTGGCAGGATCTCCTGCCGAGGTTGGTCTCCATTTCTAGCCGGGCACCCAAAAAAAATGAGAATGGCATCGATCAATCGCATTCCCTTTACCAAATGACGGGCCGCTCCCAAGCTCGCCAGGAAGTGATACTCGTTCATCGCGCACAGGATACACGCCAATGGGGGGCTACTGCTTTTCCCCATTGGTATACCCACTTGCTGCCTAATTAGTCTGTCGGAGGCCACCAGATACGTGTGGTTCAATTCAAACACCTCTGTGGGTCTAATCAGTTCATAATCAATCTCAACCCACCACTCATTGCGTGCTTTCTTTGCAAAAGACGACCCTTTTCCCCTCCGTCGGATGTTCATGCTATATCTCCCTTTCCTTCCATACCAATCCAGAATCCAGTCAACCGCACTTAAAATGTACATGTGTGGGAGTTGGCTGAACATTTCCTTAATGTCGAACACAACTCCCACCAACTCACCTTTCCCCTTCGTTTGGACCCAAATATTGACTTCCTATAATCTGTCCTTCAACAAATTGGTGGACTTCAGGTTGAACTGCACAGACTTTGGAAGCAAGAAGAGCAAATGATTCAATGCTCGGGCCACTCTACCCCCTGCTGATCTTGCTGGTTCAGAGAAAGCCGGACTAATTGGTCCTTAGGAACGATATACGTGTGCCCGCATTTTCCATTCCTATCCCACTTTCTCAGCTTCCCCAGCCCATTCCTTTGGTAGGCTTCGGGGCTCGTTAGACACTCCTTGGGGCGTCCTCAGGGCCGAAGGAAGTTTCCTTAGGGGTTTTGAAGGAAATTCCCGCCGTCATTCCACCTATCCTTGGGGTGGTCTCCCAAGGATGATTCCTTTTGGCCCCTAGTGGCCAATTTCATAATATTATAGTCGGCCCGGGGGGGGGGGGGGCATGCCTTGGTCCWTTGGGTGATGTTCGTCTCGCTACGGTGTGGTCCAGCTGCCAGAACGCGGGAAATTTTGAAAGGCGCTGGTGACGGGGGAAGACAAAACCCTTAAAAAGCAATGGACCTCCCCATTTGAAAATCAAATTTTAAATTGGGTGCTGGACGTTACGACAGCGACGCGGGGCAGGTGGCATCCATATCAGTGACGGCGGAAACGGGCATTTGCAGCGGCGCAGTGGAGTATTCGTAAGTCATCACAAATTTGTGAGCGCCTCGCGAAGGTCCATCGCCATCGCCGCCTGCTGCCGTCGCGCATATGTGTGGAGTCGACCACACACGGGGAATGTCGCCGGTGACTTGGTGATGAGGTTACTGTGGTCGTGGCGAGTTGGTAGGCTGTTGTTTCGTGGTTCATGAGCATTGCAACACACGTGCCCATGGAGGGCGGCAGTGACGACGGACATCCAA